TCTCAGTGACCGTCGTGGCACGTGCCACGTGAATAGTCAGGGGTGTTCAATTTGTTTTGCAAAAGCAGTGATTTTGAGAGGCTCATATCTCAGCAGCCGCTTGGGCGATTGTCTTGCGGTACTTTTTGTAGGGTAGCTGCATCCCTTCTACCAAAGTTCGGATACTCTTGATCTATGTGAGTGACCCCCACTGCACGTGCAAAATACAAAAAGAAGAGGTGCCACATTTGTTCCCATTTCAATAACTCGGTAATTACTGGGGCGATTTCGCTGAAACTTGGCATACAGGTAGGCACCCACCAGGCAATGCATTCCCATGTGTTGCGGTTAGGGTGATACCGCACGTGCGCACGTGCAGGGGGCGCTCCCAGATCTCGAGAACGGCTGGGCCGATTACGCTCAAATTTGGTACACGGTTGGGGACCGGTTAGTAGGGTGCCGTGCAAAAGTCAGTTTGGACCCCGGTTGCACGTGCGCACGTGCAGAATGCCGCTTCCAGATCTAAGGAACGGCTGCGCCGATTGCGTTCAAATTTGGCACACGGCTAGCGGCCGGTTAGAAGGGTGCTTTGCACAAGCCCGTCTTGCACGCTCGTCTTGACCTAGAAATGCAGAGACAACAGCAACAAATAATAAAAGAAAAGTACGAACCTCCACCATGCGCCTGTCTTCCTCCTCCGTCGTCTTCCGTTTTCTTCCACACTTATCATAGCGCGCTTTCAAACCTCTTTCCCCTTCCTGCTCATAACGGTGTTTCCACCGTCTGGCAGTAGTTAGAGCTACACCGACAATCTCTGCCGCCTGCTTGACAGAGTGACCTTGAACGAAAAGCAAGATGAGCCTGCCCTTGTCAAGATCACTGAGGTGTGCCATCACGCTCACGTTGACGTCTAGCCGCACACACTCCACGCGGGCTGCGGCCGCATACTGCGGCTCTGCTTCCCCGGCTTTCCGCCCCACTCGGAACAGAAACAGCCAGGTCATGTCATTCCGTGACCCTCAAAGGATACTGTGCCGCATCACACTAATCGGTACACTCTCTGACACACCAGGCCTGCCCCGCCGTGGCCCAGCCTCGGTCCCGGTATGAGCGCGGATTCTGCGCTCAATAGTACACATATGATATAATGAATGTCACCATCGTGTTCTACGCCCCAAATTACCTATAAAACATGTGTCACAGGCTGCGAATATCAGTTTTGATTTTCGGGGATATGTGCCTACCCGGTTGACCTGACCTTGACCCTCACCTATGCTTGACTGACCCCTACATGGAGCTGAAACTCTTGTAGGCCTTATATGATGGATTGTGCACCGTTTGGACAGAGTTTATGACGAGAGGCGCCCATTGCGAAGTCCGGAAGTCCATGCTACTGAAAGCCCGATTTCAGGTGTTTGACCTGACCTTGACCCGACCTGTGACCTCAAAATTCAACTTTAAAGTACTCATCTGAAGCGTCCCGTCGCGCTCTTTCGTTTGTCGCCTCGTGCGTTTCGCTGCGCCTATTGGTTCTCGAGTTATCGGCTGGGGGCGTTTAACGCCCCCCCCCCCCCCAGCAAACGGTGGGTGGCGAAATACCCCAGCAACTGCCGGGTTAATGGTCACTGGCGATATTCAGCCTTGAGTAAAATAATAGTGGCCACTGGCGGTATGCAGCCTTCTAAAAGTGATAATGGCCACTGGCGGTATGCAGCCTTCTAAAAGTGATAATGGCCACTAGCGGTATGTAGCCTTCTAAAAGAAATTACGACCACCGGCTGTATCGCACCGCTTGATACTAAACCGTGTCCTGTATCCACCAGTCGATGGTGAGGTGTCCCGGATCCGTACCCGTGCTGTATCCATACAGCTGTAATATAACTAATACACACTGTACAGTCTACAGTTGACGGCAGAACGATGCACCGTTTCTCAGCGGGCAATCAGCTGCCTGGAGTGGTAGGCTGTGCCGCACTGCACCGGCTGGGTGACACATAGATCACCATAGACACACTTCATGTGTGATAATCAGTACAGCCTATCGGCTCAGTCAACTGAAGTGCTGGGCTGGTGGTGAGGGTAAACAGTATGATTCGCCCCGTCCCCTGTGGGATGCATTTCCTGGAAATGACGCGATTTTTCTTTTTACTGATAACTCTCTGGGTTTGGCTTAAAGGGACCCTCCCACCTTCAAAAAAGTTGATGAATTGGCATGAAAGTGATGTCCCTTGGTGCAGAAAGAGCGAAAACGAATATCTACCAAATTACACCGAAAAATATTCACTGGTTTTCAAGATATTAGGCTTTTACTTTTGTTTACTTTTTGGGATCTCCCCTGTTACTAGCGACTTTATTTGGAAGCAATAATTTGGCAGCCCTAAAGTGCGGCAGACGTTGCGCGCAAAGCAGCGTATACCACCACGTGTTAACGATGGTTTTATTCTAAGATTTAAAAATCGTTAGATCTCCGCTGACGTCACAAATTCTAAGGGGGCATTCCAATGCATTAGCCCCTTAGAATCCGAAAACTGCAAGTTTGAAATTCCATATCTTCGAAGTAAAGCATTTTTCGATGTTGTGAGCGTCCAAACCGGTATTTGCAGGTCATGGCCACCAATTTGGCTATCTCAACTCAAAACTAATGTTTAGGTGGGAGGCAGGGTTGTATACCAATCAAGTCGATTGAATTGATTGATTTGATTCAACGCGTATTTTGAGTTGATTGGATTGAGTCGATTGACTTTTCGAGATGACTGGTTGACTGACTCGTTTGACTTTAGCGACTGGTTGACTGATTTGATTCCCGAAAATTAGAGTGACTCGTATGGTTGAGTCGATTGAATGGAAAGTTGAAATAAGTTTTAGTTGACGAAAAATAATGACACCAATTGATGACATCAAAGATCACAAAACTACACTGAAAACTGCTTGTCATCACAACTGCAATATGGGGTAGATTGAGATGGCCAAATAAAGAACAGGGCCTAAACATGAACAGCCAACTTTGACTTTCAACTGCAATAACTGCTCCAATCCTGTGATAGAACCTGGCGATGCACCTACCTACCTTTCTGCACTCAGCAGGAAACTTTTTTTTAATCCAGATGATAAAGTGCAAGGCCCTATATACTAATAAAGTGTGATTAATTACTAATTCACATCTCCACATCTCCTCAGAAACAACCCACTGAACTCTATAAATATCTGAAACCCCTACAAAAATAACTGAAACAAAAGCGCCGTTTTCGTCTCGCTAATTACGTTTACATTAATAGCTAATTTGCTGCATTGTTTAATTTGCAGCAGAACGTTTGTTGATCCTTTTCTCCTGAGAGCCTAGGCATAACATATTTAATATATTTCATTTTCCTTAAAATATTTTACCGAAAATTATAAAGTGGTTTTATTTCAAATGAAATAATAATTAAAACGAAATTGGTGTTGTACAACCGATTTATTTTATGATGATCTACCATACTACATGATAATCAATGACGTCATCTTACCAAAAAATCAAAAGACGTAGAATAAGGATTTATAAAAGCTTAGCATATTTCTTGGCAAAACGTTTTCTTTGTTTTTTTTTTCGCAGTCGCACCAACGGCATTTAATTTTCCTTGTTCTTCTTCCTTTGTCCTTAACTTATCCTGTCGTTCCAGAGTCCCTGTCCTTTCCATTTCCTTTTAAATATATTTTAATGCTCATCCCTATCCCCCAGTCCTAACAGTTTCAAATTGTATTGCAATAAAATGTTTTGAATTCTTCACATATAACCTATCTACCTTCGTTGGTATACTGTTGGTAGCCAGTGACACATCTAGGCAGGTAAGTAGGTACCTACCTGCTTTCCTGCTGTCTTCCTAAAGCATACCTAATGAAGTTGTCAAATTTATAGCACATTTTCAACACTTTCATATCAATATGGTGTCAGTGTGGCATGTAACCTAGCTAGGTTCATTATGTTCAGGGTTCAATTCAGAAGAGCTCCGCATAACTCACATAAGAGACAGACGGGGGCTTTACATGGGGTAGATGGCCTGATGACTTAGCTGGAATATGGCCAAAATTAAATTGACAACTTTTAGGTGAAAGGTGGTGATTTGGGTTAAGGGGCGTTTGTTGAAGTCAACTACTGTGTTATTTTGCACCCATTAAATGAAACTTCTGCTCCAATTCTACCCATTGAACCTCAATATCATGATCCACCTGTCCATCACTAGGTATCCTTCCTTATTACATAGAAACTTTGAATGGCATGGCAATTTATAATTTAAAATGACAATATTTTTGTTTCTTCTGTAGGTAGGTAGGTAGGTAGGTAGGTAGGTACACCAGACTGCTATGGACACTTTTCTAAGTTGGTGGGGCAAAAAACCTAATGTATATCTTGGTTTGAGTCGTTTGATTGAGTTGATTGATTCCTTTCATTGTCGCGTTTGAGTCGATTGAATCAATTCCCGAAAACTGCTCTGACTTGATTGATTTGATTGGTTTCCCAAATTTGTCGTGATTGAATTGATTGCTATTGATTGAGTCGTATACAACCCTGGTGGGAGGGTCCCTTTAATTTTCACGGAACACTTATATTAGGGAACCTGAAGTTGCACGCACTTTTTATGAAGCATCCGACATTAGAGCTCCACGTCACTTCAAGTAGGTGACTTCTTTATATCAAAACTTCGTACCTATGACATTATGGAATGCTGTGCTAAAAGCATTGCATAATGGTCAGAAGCCTTACAATCCCTTTGACGAGTTACCGTCACGAAATGACAGCACTACATAGTGGCGCTGGGAAATCCAGTAAAATTTGTGTATTGAACGTCTGAACCACTGTGTATTTCAATCGCCATCAGCCCGTGATATCCCATGAGCGACACCGAACCGAACATATCCGGTCCAAATGAACCACAGCCGACCGGACCACCGACGGTCCGACACAGTGACGGGCGAGGTCCGATATCGCCCGGAGCCACCCTCACAGATAGCTCCAACCTTGGCTCCAACGACTCTGGTCTAAACTGAAACTACAACACAACAGCACAGCGGCGTGAGCCAGCGTGACGTCACGACAACACACGTGACGTCACCACGGCGGTACCTCCGGCACGGTGACAACGGTTTACCGACGGCTGGACAGTGGCCCCGAGCGTGATACATCTCGAATACTGAATATACCTACCGTCTATCAAAGCAGAGCAGTGTAGTGTCGACAAACGTAGCAATCTGTGCTCAAATGATCAAGCATTTAGGTGGTCACTCAGCCCAAACCAGCCTGGCACGGCGGTAAAGTACCCGCAGACCTGGCCCGATGGGACAGGGCGGCTCGAAGTACTTCTGCATATGAAGGTCTAGATGTCTATTTTGTTCAGCACAGCGCTGCCGACGGGACACGGACGGTACTGCCACCTGTTGTCCAGTTCCGACACTACAGACGGGACACAGTGCTGCCATCTGTTGTCGAGTTCCGACACTGCCATCCGGCACCGGAGCGGTCGAGGCACTGATTACAGTGATTAGTCAGGCTTTTAGAAGGAGTATACGGTGATTTTGCTGCCGTTGGGTGGCTTAGTAAGCTTGTCGTATACAGACTCTGAAAAATAGAGCACGTCAGATTACACACTGATTGCTAGTGAGGTTACATGGGGCAACTCAGACTGATGACGTCACTCATATGTACAGAAACAAATACAATGATAATGTGTGTATTACTGACTAGTGACGTCATGTGGGCTGATACTGATACTGTGACGTCACTTACGGAGATACACGTCACCAAGCGTGACGTCAGTACTAGTGATGTCACGTGCGTCCGTGTGTGTCCGAGAGGCCGGTGGCGCCGTGTCGGCTGGTGTGGGTGGTCAGAGACGCTGCCACTTACTGGGGACAATGAAATCGATGGTACGGGACTGGCCACTGTCACATCCCAGGTCTGTCTCGTGCAGGGCAGTCAGGACAGCCTGGCAGTTTTCAGTGGAGGATTCAATGTACAGTCTATACAGTTTCCTGCAGGTCACTGCCATCCTGCAACAAATCATAACAGAACAGAACAGGTCAGTATACGGGACACAGTCACACAGTGGCACCAGCGGGCGACTCAACACGAATACACCATGTAGTAATAATGCCGTTCATAACAGACCATATGTGCCTCCAGCTACCTCAAGTTCCCAGTCTGGTGCTGCAATTTGCTATACATGTTTCACACGATACTAAGAGCCTTATGCCATCCAATATTATGTCCATATCTATATTAATACCAGTCCAGTCCAGATAATGTAGCTGCCCGTCCGTTTGTCCGTCTGTCTGTCTGTTTCCATCGCATCAACACAACCACCTGAATCAAAAAGTCTGCTTGTGGATGCCTATTCTTCTGCAAAGAGTTTGTTTCTATTTCCAGTGTCCCCGTGCCCGTATTACTATGTAAACCTCCAAGAGATACCCAGTTTCTGGGGTTATTGCGGTCTATCCAGATAGGTACACATAAATATCCGCCGTCGCCGTCCGTCCGACTGACCTGCTGACCGCTGCCACCTCTGACTGGGTCAGGGCAGGGATGTCCGTGAGGGGCCGGGTGTCACTGAGCTCCACCGTATCCAGCTGGGAGCAGCCGTGGAGGGCGGCTAGCACAGTGTCGCAAATGACGCCGGATCCGATAAAAGTGACGTCCTTCAAGCTGGTGAGGGCAGTCAGGAGGCGTCCCGTCGCTTCCGGTGTCACGGACGGTGACTCTGTAAAACATAGAGACAGACACACATACCGACTGGAATGGCTGGAACTGAAGATGAATAATATTATCAGCAATATATACCAACAAGACGGACGCCTTTTGGGGAAACGGACAAGCAAGTGCAATAAAGGAATAGTGGAAAAGCGCAGTAACTAGTAAGATCCAACTGCTTTATATAGGCCATCCTTGCAGTGGCGGATCCAGGATTTTCACTGGGGAGGGGCTGCAGGTCATAATTGGGCGCCACGCCCCGGATGGGCGCCATAGTCGCATCGTATTGGCACTGAAATATTGGCGCCCAGTGGCCCTGACAAGAGGCGCCCAGGATCAGTATGTACAGTGACACCACACGATTGGAAATATCGGTGCGGAGCGTACTGAAACGACGTTATTCGACTGATTTTTGCATCCTAGTCCTAGTATGCGGCACTCCGATGAGTTGCGAATTGAAAATTGGCGCCACTGCGCCTTCGGCGCAGTGGCGCCAGTTTTCCTTGGGTGGGGGCTGCCAGCCCCCGCAGCCCCCCCCCCCCCTGGATCCGCCACTGCATCCTTCTAACAAATCCATAATAGCGTGACAGCCTCGAGCGCCCATCGTTATTGAGAATAAGATGTATAAGCATTATACTCATACATAATAGCCAAATTCATATACTCATTAGCATGATCAGTACGATATGTGTTTAACGATAGGCGCTACGTTTTGTCAACTTGATAAAGTGCAGTAGTAAGCGGAACATAAAAGCCGCGTGTTCCCTACATTTGTCATGGCCATTGGTCAGTGGTCACGATATCCTGGCACCGATGCTCTGCTCGTGTTGGTGTTGCTCACCATCAATGAATAGCTCGGTGACTGTGTGGGTCGCCAGGACTGCCAGCTGGTCCAGGAGTGTGTCCGTTGCTGACAGTACACCGACCACAAGTCCCTCCGACGGACCTCTTCTAAAATTATGCGATGTTCGAGTCATCCCCGACCCTGTAGAGAGGGACATGATCGCCCGTTAACAGCATTTAGGGTAGGGGGGGGGGGCATTGGTCGTGGGCACCACCAGTCAGCTTATCGACAGACAGCGCTCGTATAGGTGGCATTATAAACACCTGCCCCCCACAATAAGGCTCGGGACAATGAGACTTCATTATTCATTTGCTTTCATCGTATTAGTTCTTAAGAAACATTTTTTTGGTTTGATTTTAAGTGCATTGTGTTTATGTAGATATTGATCAGGTTACATAGTTGTTGATGGTATGTTTAATTAACGCGCATTGTGTTATTGATTCAAACCTCAGAATTAATTACATGAGACCTCGGCCGGCTAATGTGCTAATAAGCAAAAAAGTGTAACCGAACAAATTCGCCCTTCCCTTCTTTACAATGTTCTTTCTCTCACCACACAAAACATGCAACATTTCCGGCGGAGTTAATTCTTTTCCTTTTTCGGCTACGCCATTCTCGAAATCCAGTGCCGCTAATACGTGTCAACGTGACGGTGCTAGAAACTCAAGCGTTCCACCAACACCCAGTCCCTCTCACCAGTGATGTCCAGTCTCCTCAGCGACTTGGGCAGCAGCCGCAGCCACTTGCCGGAGCTGTCCACGGGCGGGCTCACATCGAGCCGCTCCAGAGCCTTCAGCGGCTCCAGCAGCGCCTCCAGCTGCCAGTCGCTGATCCCAGCCGGTAGCGTCAGCTCACGCAGACTGGAGGCGTTGGCACGCGCCAGCCGGCGCAGGGCAGAGACTCGCAGCTTGAAGCCGCGCAGGTTAGCCTTCTCCAGGGCGTGGCAGGTGGCCGCTGGAATGAAGCAGCACTAGTCAGTGAAGAAGTGATCGCTCATATCATCATATCGACAAGGAACGAGTTACAGCGGGACAAAGCGTACCATGTCGTGTCTAGTGCGTTTCACACAGGACTCACCGACCAGTCGAAGGTCGGTGTCTGTCTCAGCCGTCGACGCCCGCAGTTCAGTCATCTTCGGCTGGTCCTGTGTCTTCACTACGAGCTCTAGGCCCGTAGCCGGCGCAGGGACTTCTCCACCTCGAGTTTGTTGATCGGTTAGCTCCCGCCGACAGTCGCCGACGATATCGTCGACGGCGGACCGCCACCGACGGCAGACTGTCGGCACCGAAGGAACAAAAAAAGAAGGAGCACTTTGACGAGAACGTCATTGTTCATTTAAAGACAGCTTTGGTATCTTTAACCCGCGCCCTGCTGGGGGGGGGGGGGGTGTTTGAACACCCCCCTTGTGGTTTTTCGCGAATATCTTAAAAAACGGCGGCGCGGAGCGCCGCCGTTTTTGGTACACCTTATCATACATCAATTCTACACATGTTGTGAAAATTTCAGACCAAGGTCATTCAAGGTCAGGTCACCAGGTCACTTGAAGTGACCTCACCTCATAAAAAGTTTCAATGTCTGTCATAGCTACAACGAGTGACCGATCGCTTTGAAACTTTCAGCGATTGCTAAGAGCAATAGCATGTACAAAATGTATATCTCAGAATTTTTATATAGATGACCTAAGGTCAGGTCAACTTTGCGACCTCCCCATTATAAGTCTATGGGAGAACATTGAAATGCGCCTCTTTTGGACGACAGACATTATAAACACTCCCAAACACCGAATTACAAGTGGTTTAGACACACTGAACATGAAAATGGTGTCCGTGACCCTTGTTTATGCCCTGAGGTCATCTTAGGTCACGAATAGTATCTAACAGTTTTTCGCAAATAACTTTTGATAGAGGCATGCTAGAGCGATGAAAACGCCTAAGATGTGTTCAGCTCGACGATACGGATCGACTGATATGCAACATGACCCTTTCCGGTCAGGTCATGACCTTGACCTGAGGTCAAATTTTCAAGTTGACCTTTCAAGGTCAAGTTATAGTTCATTCGATGCGTCTTGACGAGAGGAACACGATGCCGGTAAAAGTAAGCTCGTAAAAGGCTTGGGTCAAAAGTAATTGCAGAAAAACTGTTTCCGAAAAAATCGACTACTTTTGCAGTTTTTGCCCCCTGCAGGCAAAACCGTTGACGTTAGGTCAAATCTGAGAGAATACTCAGAAAGGGCGCTAATAGGGCTATCGAATGCGCTTTTCCGCGGCGCTGTAGCTCTATTGGTTCCCGAGTTATGCGTTGGCTTCTTGGAAATTTTCGACATTAGACCTGGAAATCGGCGAAATTTTGCCTTCAATTACCTCTGGTGACCTGACCTTTGACCTGACCAAAAAATTGACCGAAGTGATTTCGTCATTATTTTTGACGCTCTGTCGAACGCCGCCTTCCGGGTATCGCTACGTGGCCCAGGAGCCGAGTTACAAGGGGGGGGTTCAAACATCCCCCCCAGCAGGGCGTGGAAATCCAGGACCCCCAGCCGGGCGCGGGTTAATTAAAAGAAGAAGCTATTCTATAACAAAGAGTATACCGAGCAGCCCTGAATTCACATACGAATCCTGTGCCAGCCTGCCCTTTGCCAGTCTTTATACGGCCTTGGCCAGTCTGTCTGTCCCGGTTCCGGAGTGCCAGTGATGTAATGTCTCGTGCCGAGCTCGCCGGTTTCTAGGAAAGGAACTCCAAGAAGGACTGTATATCATATTTATTTATTTATTTATTGCACTTCATCAGATCGTTCCGCTAAAATAGGGCTATTCTCCGATCATCGTCATGACAATATGCATAGATATGAAAAACACACATACACACACCAGATAAATTGAGAGGTACAATGACGGCATAGCAGTGACAAAGTACACTATCACGGCATAGACCTACCCGACTGCGTTACTCTGGCGCAGTAAGTCCTTCATCTTGGCCTTAAACGTTGCTACACTCAGACCAGCCAAGCCGTTTTGCAGCGCCATTCGATTGTACAGGGAGGCGGCTCGGTGCACAAATCGACGTTTGCCATGGTTGTTTTTCGCACGACATACGGCTAAAAGGTGCGACTGTCTGGTGTCTCGACACACGTGCTCATGGTTATAGGACATATAAGAACGCAGTACATCAGGCTTCCCCGACTTAAGAATGCCATGCATCAGTGACATGTCCACATGCGCTAAAAACTCGGGTACACGCAGCCATGCAAGTTCGTCTAGCACATCAGAAACATGATCAAATTTTCGCCGCCCGGAGATAACTCTGGCTGAGAAGTTAAAAACTTTCTGTAATCTGGCTATGGTCGTGCGATTGGCGCTACCGTATACAGGAGCACAGTACCGCACATGGGACAAAACGAGAGAGTCGACAAGCCGAGGTAAAATAGAATGTGGAACAATGTGTCTGATGTGCATGAGACCGATAAGAATGCCGAAGCAGCGGTTGATGATGGTGTTGATGTGCGCTTCCCAGGTGAGCTCGGGGTCCATGACCACACCAAGGTTTTTGACAGTTCGCGATAGCGCAAGGACCTGACCCATAAACTCGATCTGAGGAGGCTCGTCGATCCGAGCCAGCTGGCGACGGTCACCGCACATGAGGAGCTCTGTTTTGCTGGCATTGACCATCATACCGTGCTGGAGAAACCATGTGCACAGCGTGTCCAACACGTTCTCCAGAGCAAGCTTCAGTTCTGGAAGCCGGCTACGAGGGCCAGTTATCGCAACCTGGGTGTCGTCTGCATAGCGAACGGCCAAGATGCGGAAGCCGTTGACGCTGGATGGAATGTAACAGCCGATGCTGTTGCTCACGATGTTGAACAACAATGGGCCGAGGCATGAACCCTGGAAGGTGCCGATGTTAATGGGCAAGGGCTCAGAAAGTCTGTCACCCACTCGTACCCGCTGTGTGTGTCCGGCCAGGTAGCTGCTGATCCAGCCCGTGGATATCTGGAGCTGTTCCAGGCTGGTCAGCAAGGTGGCGTGATCCACAACGTCAAAGCAACGGCTTAAGTCAATCAGAGTTAAAAGGGTGACTTCGGAATGGTCCATGCCAGAGAGTATGTGATCGGTCATAGCTAAAAGAGCCGTTGTAGTTGAGTGACGTGCCATAAAACCATGTTGATCGGGACTAAAGAGACAATAGTGTTCGAGGTAGTTGGAGATCTGCTGGTGTACTAACTTCTCTACGATTTTACAGATGACGGGTACATTAGTGATAGGTCGGAAGTTTGATGCCTGCGAGGGCTCGCCTCTCTTATGGAGAGGGATGACAACAGCGCACTTCCAGCTGGAAGGGACAGACTCAGTGACTATGCTACAGTTAATAATTTGCAGTAAAAGATGACCGATGTAGTTAAAGCATGATTTTAAAATTTTGACTGGCACGTCACCCGGTACACACGGGTCTTTGTTAGGCAGGCTAAAGAGCACGGTGTGAAGTTGATCAAGCGTCACTGGGATGATGTTCAGCCTTCCCGTGTGGACGCGTGGGAGCCGAACATCAAGAGGGTGGCGATCTGAGCGCTCAAACTCTGCCATCACTGTGTCGCGAGTAGTTCTACCGATAGAACAAAAATAATCATTCAGCTCTGAGGCAGTGAGATCAACAGGGGACACTGACGGGCCGCGCTTAGGAGCGATAACAGACTCCAGCTCCTTGAACAGACGCGACGGAGGAGCAGCCACACACGCTCAGTAATATCGTCACGCCGGTCCTTCCTAATTGCACGCTTAGCTAACGCGTTCAGACGCTGATAGGTGTCAGCGTCAGCGCACCGCAAGGCCTCCCTGCGCTGCCGCATGACGTCCAGCGTATCCTCTGTGACCGCTGGAGGAGCGGGGTTACGGACCTTAAACCTGCGGATGGGCGCATGTCTATCTAATAAGCGTGTCAATGCATGAGCAAAAGCATCCCACTGCTGCTCACAGGAAGCATCACGTCTGACCAGCGCGCGCCAGTCAACTCCTGCGACATCAGCCAAGAACGCACGCTCATCAAACACCCGCCAGTTACGTCATAACGTCATTACATAATGAAGCATGATCTATTATCTTTTCTACCGTCCTGCAAGCAATGTCAGTTGCCAGAACACTTACCCCGCCTGGCGCGGATCATTTCCCAGCAGTCCATTTTGCTCAGCACCACCTTCAGCACGTCGTGGTCCAGGAGATAAATAAGAGAAGGCCATCGCGGTACAGCCTCTCGCACGTCACCGCCCGCCAGCCCCGCCTCCTCCTTATCTTGGGTGATGACGTCACATGTGCTGATGACGTCACACTTGTCGCCGGTTCCGTCCTTCAGCGTCATCACCTCTTCGACGTCACTGTGACAAAATGACGTCAGAGTGACAAGGTGTGACGTCATCAGAGGTCAGTGGTTAGGCGATAATTTCCAGATAGTTATCTTCACTTCCGGGCAGCACCGTACCATTGACCCAGGTAAGGCCACAGAGTCCCTTTCCCAAACCCAGTCTAGCTCCTGCTGCCTCCCAGTCTTTTACAGACAAGCTGTCTACCAAAACGAGTGTCATCTTACAGACAAACTATTCACAAAATAAGATGTACGTACCAACTCTTACAGACAAACTATCCACAAAATAATGCGTACTCTAACAGACAAACTGTGTACAAAACCGAATAACCTCTTACAAAGTTTTTTCACAAACAAATTTGACTCGTGCCTCCACAACCAGCTTGACATACAGACCAGCTGTCCACACCTGAAGAGTCATCTCTTGCAATCAAGGCCGACTTACTTCTACTGTTAACCCCCTAATGTCATCTCATCGACTAACCCCCCCGTGCCACCCCTTCTGCCTCTCAGTCTCACCCCTGGGAGCGGTCGGATGGCGCCGCTCGCCGGCGGACCTCCTGCCGCAGCTCCTCCACGACGACCTCGCGAGTGGTGCGCTCCTCGAGGACAGCCTGTCGCAGGCGGACCACCTCTTCACGTAGATGGACCACCTCCTGACGCAGTGTGGTGTTGTCTCCCTTCAGTGTGGCGTTGTCTCCCTTCAGTGTGGCGTTGTCTCCCTTCAGTGTGGTCACTTCTCCCTTCAGTGTGGCGTTGTCTCCCTTCAGTGTAGTCACCTCCCCCTGCAGTGTGGTCACTTCTCCCTTCAAACCAACAACCTCTTTACGAAGAGCAGCCAGCTCCCCGCACAGATCTTCTAAGTCCATCTGAAACACAAATGATAAGTAGGTATCCATTCCTATAGGCTTCTAGTAATCAGAAGAGACAATGACAAACAAACCATCTGTAATTAGTCTTTCTTGAAAGCATTAACCCTCGCCCGCACATGGGGGGGGAGGGGTTGCCACCCCAGGTAGTTCTTTCTGCTCTGCACTCAACATTTTTAGAGCTAGAAGCCTGATTTTTCGTATAGCTGCTCCTCTATCCTTTCTTGATGTCCACTGAAAATTTCAAGTTTCTGCGGTTTTGGTTTCGGCGATCGGATAGCCGGGTAGTGTGACAAAGAGGTTCTAGCTGGCTTGGCACCAGAAAACGGCATCGTCATCGGTATATGATAAGCAGCGCACTTGATATCCAACGGTGACCCAAAACAGCAACATTTTTAGTTTGACCTGACCTGGAAGGTCAATGACTGACCTGAGAAGGTAAAACTGGGTATCATTGGATTCGTCTCTTCCCAAAGAATCTTTTTGATCTTTCTATCTCCAACAGGAACGAAACGGCACGGGGGGTGGCAGCCACCCCCCCCCCCCGTGCGTTCTAGGATGGGAAAATGGCATGTGCGGGCGAGGGTTAATGTGAGAGCCGCGGTGCGGGAACACGACGGAAAGACTACTCTGTTGATACTGCGGGCCATAGAAGCAAGGTCGTGGCCTGTATCATACACGAATCTACGCTAGCGGTAGTACCTATCTATTAGCCGTTTTCACGACGGCCACTGGTACTCACTTGGTGCACATCTGGTGCAGATCAGGTGCAGATTTGGTCAAATCAGGTTCAGTATGTCTCTTAGTAGCTATCAGCTAGGGTTGCACTATTTGCTTATATGCCTGCTTTGTCATATTATTAGAGTATCATCGATGAAAACACTGAAATAAATTCATAGAATAAGGATATTTGCTGTAAAAGAAATTAGGTGCAGATTTGGTCAAATCAGATGCCTTCGCCGGATAGCTCGTCGTGAAAACAGCTGTAAACTACATACTCTTGCATGAAATAGGCGTCACCAACACCTAACAGCTGGGCCGAAACAGTTAGCAAGGAGACCGGCCATAGGTCGTGCTGTGGTAACTCTCCGTTGACCCCGTCCACCGCCTCAGGCGGATACCGGCGCCGCTGGGGCTCACCTATCGGGCGTTCATTGGTCTACCTCAGTATATCCCGTCACTTTACAGATAACTTATCATACAGATAACAGATAACAGTCATACCTATAACTTGACAGATACCGACAGTGGCGCGGGAACCGGGGGGGGGGGGGGGGCTAGCGGGGGCTGAGCCCCCCTCCCCTCCAGCTTTTCGGCTGGGGGGCTCGTAATGTATTTGAGCCTTCCCCCCCCCCCCCCAGCTGGAGGAATCGAAATCGGAAATCTACCAACATAATTTCATAGATTTATACATAGGCGCGGGAACCGGAGGATGGGGAGGATGGGGCAGTGGGGAAGCTTGCCCCCACAACTCTGCGGCCGTGGGGGCGGTGCCCCACAACTTTTCATGAGGCCATGGGAACCGTTGGGCAGCTTGTCCTCCCCAAATTAGGAGTTGCGGGTCACAAAGGAAGAAAGCATATAAGTGAAAAATCCAGCTCTTTCACTGGCTCGGCAACTCATTTGGCAGATTAAACCTTTACTCCAGGTTGCCAAAACGGTAGTTTCTTCACTCAGCTGAGACGGAATACCTCTTTTTTGCATTTTTTTCGTTTTTTTTTTGTTGTTGAAAAGGCCAAAGTCTGAAAATAACTGGCCTAAACCGGTGAGAAAACTAGATTTGGGGGTACCCTAGGTTGATCTCTATTATGCCCCCCCCCCCCCCAGTCTGAAAGAAGTTCCCGCGCCACTGGATACCGGTGGTGAACGACTTAAACACTTTAAGTTGCTGAATATTAGGTAGAGTATAATAAAAAGCAGAATTTCTTTGCCACCAATTTAATATCTTCATCATCTCCTATACGAGTTCCGGTTGCATATATCTTATATGCAACAGGAAAATATAACTGTTTGGCTGTGACGTGCCTCGACTAGATACAAAGTACCAAGTCGATATTGTTTTTCTTTCTCGGACACCCGGACGTTGCATGGGTATCCAAAGATTATCTCAGGCAGCTTTTGCCTAATTGTCAGGGAACTCAGATTTGTTCACAATTCTAAAGAATAGTGTTTTAACTATTGACAACAAACCTTCCGTTACCTGTACAGCGATTTACAGTCAACAAGACTCCCTTGCGTCCCAGCTCTCCCGGCTCTCTACTTCTCTCGAGTTAATTAATTTAACGATTACTATTATAAGCTAATGACCCTGACTCAGCGGACCTCTGACCACATACCTTTTTCTCGATATTTTGTCAAATGCCAGCTAGTATTGCGATTCAGCATACGGCGTATTTTTTCTGCGTTTTTCTTTTTCTGAGAAACATGCAGACACGTCAACGTGAAATGCTACATCGTGGAATCATATGCATGGATGTGTGTGAAGGCCATTGCCTGTATATGACTTCAGTTGACTTATAAGTTTTACAGCTTTTGAATGTAGTTTCGGTGCCGATGCAGCATGTTATGCATCTGTCAGTGGCAGTAAACAGGTTAACCCGCGCGGGGCTGGGGGGGGGGGTAAATTTTACCCCCCTCGCGAATTTTTGCAATATCTCAAAAACGGTGGCGCGTAGCGCTGCCAAACTTTTAGTACCTTCTCTTACATCAATTTGCCACGTTCCCTGAAAATTTGAGCGAAATCCGTCGGAAAATTTTTGAGAAATTGACGTTTTAGTGACGTCATGTTCGCCATTTTCGCCTCAAAAACGGCAAAAGTTCAAACGCCGCTAACATCTTCGTTTTTTAAGGAATCAAGACGTAACAAAAAAGGATATACGTAATTATACTTTATCTATCAAATAGCTATCTCGGTTTTTTGAAAAGTTTGGATTTTGGCCCAAATTTTTCAAAAAACTGACTTTTTTGGGAAAAGAGCTATAAAATCCAAAATTTTGAGTGTATAAAAAAAACGGAATATATGTCAGAGAAGTGGTATATGTGCACCTACCTACCAAGTTTTAGAAGAATCGGTTCAAAAATGTGGGAGTTATTCAAAATTGTATGACGTCACGACACACAAAAATTTTGAAAAATGACTTTTTTGGAAGTTCTAGACCTCGTACGGAAACAAAAATAGCACCATTCGATTCGCCGTGAAAAACTGCATCAGATAGACACCTTTTTAGGCCTTAACAACCAACTTCAAAATTTGACCTCACTTGACCTGACCTTGACCTGACCTCGACCTGAAATTCATCCAGAGGTGGTCCATATCACTTATTGAGTGTGCCTATTGAATTCTATGAGTAAAATGACCCATAAAACATGTGTCGCACATGCCCTTTTCTATATTTTGTTTTTGGTGACCTGACCTGACCTGACCTGACCTTGACCTTGACCTCTGAATGATATTGTATGCAACGAATATTGTCTTGGTAGCCTAAGAACACGTTTTGGGCGATCAGTCTCAATCCATGACTCCATTCTTCGGCAACTACGGTGCAAGGCCGATACTGTAGGAACTTGCAATTTGTACCCTTGACCTGACCTTGACCTTGACCTCAAACTTAAAATTAAGTACATGTTTTTAGTTGTTCGTGTTGAGATCTTTCGATTGGCGTTTGAATTTTCCAAATCGGACCATTAGTTCGGGAGATAACAGGGGGGTAAAATTTACCCCCCCCCCCCCCAGCCCCGCGCATTCGGCTGGAGACCCCAGCCCCGCGCGGGTTAACACGATAGAGGGGTGACGTCTACCGGTTGACCTGACCTGACCCGACCCGACTTTCCCCAAATGCATCGTTCAAAACTCAGTTGATAGTAGCGAATGCCTTATCATTATGAAAATGACTTATGCTTAAACATATGCTGAATGTAATGACTCGCTGGTTCCAAGGTCTCAGCAGACCGCTCCTCTCTAGGCCACTATACCTTGTCTCGATGGGTCACACGTTAGACCGCTCCTCTCCAGGTCACTATACCTTGTCTCGGTAGGTCACACGGAGTCAGAAAACCGCTCCCCTCTAGGTCGCACTGTCCGACGCCCGGGCCCTCAATGCCAGTGTTGTCCCTATCGACACCCTGTACGGGGCTCGTGACATTGCTGTAGCCGATACGGTATCTCTGCACCGATAAGGTATCAGTGGACCGACTGGGACGAACATGGATACTTCAATTGATGGCAGTGGCGGATCCAGCGCCACGTTTGGGGTGGGGCAGCTCATTGGAAATGGGGGACACTCAAGGCCGTGGAGCGGGGGGGGGGGGGGCGACACTATAGTTCTGGTAGTCAACTGATAGTCATCACTTGACCGCTGACCACCACGACCGTCCAAATTTGGAGCATCACACAAAATTCTTAAATGTGTACCCAAGAGTTTCAACTTCAAAAAGGTGCTCATCAAGACCTAAAGTTCATCAAAATTGAATGGCCTTGACGCTACAATAAGCCAGAGAGCAGAATTCATTACTTTTCTGGCTCCCATCTACTTGCAAAAGTGAGATGCACGTACAGATTATATGCGCTTATGCGGCGAACCACCATTCTTGTCGAATATTGTCTTAAAACAATGCATAATTTCAAAGGTCAATGGTCGGACCACGAACGTTTTCAGGTAAGGGTATTGATTAGAACTGAGTGATAAACGTTACGACGTCAATATTCACCACTTTTTAGAGGTGAGTACCTAATTGAGAAAACAACCGATAGGCCCTATTGGACACTTCCCTTCTATGTGATAGGGCCACTGGCGACATCCAGCCGGTGATAGTAGCCACTAGTGGCATCCAGCCTTCAGTAAAATAATAGCGGCCACTGGCGGTATCCAGCCTTCTAAAAGAAATAGTGGCCACTGGCGGTATCCAGCCTTCTAAAAAGTGGTAATGGTCGTTTTCTTGACGGCCATCTGGTACACATTTGGTGCACATCTGGTACAGATTAGGTGCAGATTTGGCCAAATCAGGTTCAGTGTGTCTCTTAGCAGCTATCAGTTAGGGTTGCAATAATTGCTTATATGCCTGCTTTGTCATATTATCAGAGAGCATCATCGATTAAAATACTGAAATAAATTCATAAAATGAAGATATTTGATGTAAAAGAAATGAGGTGCAGATTTGGTCAAATCAGGTGCATTCGCCGGATAGCCCGTCGTGAAAACGGCTAGTGGCCACCGGCGGTACCCAGCCTTCAGTAAAATAATAGTGTCCACTGGCGGTATGCAGCCTTCTAAAAGAAATAACGACCACCGGCTGTATCGCACCGCTGGATACTAGACCGTGTCCTGTATCCACCAGTCGATGGTATATGGTGTCAGGGATCCGTACCCGTGCTGTGTCCATACAGCTGTAATATAACTAATACACACTGTACAGTCTACAGTTGACGGCAGAACGATGCACCGTTTCTCAGCGGGCAATCAGCTGCCTGCAGTGGTAGGCTGTGCCGCACTGCACCGGCTGGGTGACACACATTGATCACCATAGACACACTTGATGTGTGATAATCAGTACAGCCTATCGGCTCAGTCAACTGAAGTGCTGGGCTGGTGGTGAGGGTAAAAAGTATGATTCGCCCCGTCCCCTGCGGGATACGTTTCCTGGAAATGACCTGATTTTTCTTTTTACTGATAACTCTCTGGGTTTGGCTTAATTTTTACGGAACACTTATACATGTTAGGCAATCTGAAGTTGCACACACTTTTTATGAAGGATCCGACATTAGAGCTCCACGTCACTTCAAGTAGGTGACTTCTTTATATCACAACTTTGTATGACATTATAGAATGATATGTTCAAAGCATTGCATAATGGTCAGCAGCCTTACAATCCCTTTGACGGGTTACCGTCACTAAATAACAGAACTACATAGTGGCGCTTGGAAATCCAGTAATATTGTGTATTGAACGTCTGAACCACTGTGTATTTCAATCGCCATCAGCCCGTGATATCCCATGAACGACACCGAACCGGACATATCCGGTCCAAACGAACCACAGCCGACCGGACCACCGACGGTCCGACACAGTGACGGGCGAGGTCCGATATCGCCCGGACCGGACACCCTCACAGCTAGCTCCAACCACTCTCTGGTCTAAACTGAAATTACGACACAACAGCACAGCGGTGTGAGCCAGCGTGACGTCACGTCACAACACACGTGACGTCACCACGGCGGCACCTCCGGCACGGTGACCACGGTTTACCGACGGCTGGACAGTGGCCCAGAGCGTGATACATCTCAGATACTGAATATACCTACTGTCTATCAAAGCAGTGTCAACAAACGTAGCAATCTGTGCTCAAATGATCAAGCATTTAGGTGGCCACTCAACCCAAACCAGCCTGGCACGGCGGTAAAGTACCCGCGGACCTGGCCCGATGGGACAGGGCGGCTCGAAGTACTTCTGGATATGAAGGTCTAGACGTGCATTGTGTACAGAACAGCGCTGCCGACGGGACACGGTGCTGCCACCTGTTGTCGAGTTCCGACACTACAGACTAGACACGGTGCTGCCATCTGTTGTCAAGTTCCGACACTGCCACCCAGCACCGAAGCGGTCGAGGCACCGGGAAGATCGTCGTTTAGGTATAGTACTGCAAGCAAATTTTGCTGCCATTGGGAGGCTTGGTAAGCTTGTCGTATACAGACTCTGGAAAATAGAGCACGTCAGATTACACACTGATTGCTAGTGAGGTCACATGGGGCAACTTAGGCTGATGACGTAACGTCACTTGCAGATAGGTGAGTAATAACCGAGCACAATGACAACTTGTGCATCGATAGTGACAACATGAGGGCTGATACTGATACAGTGATGTCACTTACACAGACAGGCATCACCTATTGTGACGTCAGTACTAGTGACGTCACATGAGTCAGTGTGCGTATCCGAGAGGCCAGTGACGCCATGTCGGCTGGTGTGGGTGGTCAGAGACACCGCCACTTACTTGGGACCCGGAGGTTGATGGTACGGGACTGGCCACTGTCACATCCCAGGTCTGTCTCGTGCAGGGCGGTCAGGACGGCCTGGCAGTTTTCAGTTGAGGATTCAATGAACAGGTCCTTCAGTTTCCTGCAGGTCACTGCCATCCTGCAACAAGTCATGACAAAACAGAACAGGTTAATATACGCAGACATGTGCTTGGATCCGGAAAAATGGATCTGAGATCCGATCCCATGGATCCTGATCCGAGATCCATTCAGATCATAGATCCAAACCGCTCAATTTTGTCGAGAGATCTACTGGGATCATAGATCTGACCCTTCAATTTTGTCGCTAGATCCACTCGGATCATAGATCTGGCTCCCCAATTTCGTCGTGAGATCCATTGGGATCATAGCTCATAGGTGCTCGAAATGTTAACAACTTTCTTTCATAAGAAGTTATGAATACCAAAGTATGGTTAGAAACAAACAATCTTATATAAAGGCCATATTAGTAAAGGCATCCAGTTACATTATACAGAATACAAAATAAAGGAGGCTCATGATGGTCACAACTTGAGAGAATTGAGTGACATGAAGATTGTTCACATACCAACACTGGCGGTCGCAGCCGCTGGCAAAAGGGGGGGGGGGGCAAGATCACACTCGCGGGACATAACATTTATCCGTCACCGGAGGGGGGGGGGGATCGGCTAATTTTACGCCCACGAGGCGCCGAAAAAGTTGGCATTACTTATGCTTCATCCACTTCATTTTTGCGTGAAATCTTTAAGCTCAATTTAAGGCAAAATCACCAGTTCCATTTCCCGTCCCACGGTGTTTCCACCGGTCGGGCCACTGCACCATGGCGACGGATCGGTGTAGCATATACTGGAAGGTCGAGCACGCGGATTCATGACCTTACCACTATCAAACAATTCGGAAAAGTACAGATACCTCTTGCTTTGAACAAGCATGTGAAACCCAGAGAGCATTTTCAAACCATGACATTTACCCATATAGATGTGTAGCGACGGGAGAAAGTAGGTACACCGACCTATGGAAACCCCCGGCCCCACAGGTTCCTGGTTTTCAAAATTGGCATCTGAGGGCCGCGCGCGACTCGTGCGGGGCTTCGCAACGGCTCTATTGGGGCTCGGCTCACTCAACCTGTCTTATAGTCCTACTGCTAAAAAGACTGGCCCTGAGCCCTAAGGACTTCATCAGTCTCTGCCAGCCCCACACACCGGCTCATGGGGTCCCGACGTCGAAATATGAGGGAATCTGCGCGGGACCATCAGGACGTAAAGTAATCTGGATCAGGACCAACGTAAGGCTGTGCAGGAGTCTATGTGAGCCCTGTGATCTTCAGAAGCCCACCCATGTATGTTTTCACTTAGAGGCCAGTTTAGGGCCCTCAGAAACCAGTACAGGACCTGCAGACTGCAAAGGCCAGTAGTTTGAGACCATCAGAGACCGAGGTGGGCTCTCTGAGGCTAATGTGGGTCCTTACTCATTACAGGCCTACATGCCCATGGGGCCCTCAGAGGTTAGCGTGGGGCCCTAAGAGACCGGCATGAGCCGTCGTTGGACCCCAGAGGCCAGCAGAGGGCCCTCAAAGGCCAAGATGGGCCCTTCTCAGAGGCCAATGCAGGCCCTTAGAGGCCGGCATCGGGTCTTCAGCAGCCAGTGCGGGGCCCTCATTGGCACCTAAATGTTCGTCTTGGGACACCAGAGACAGCAACAAGGCCATTAGAGACCGGTGTGAGACCCTCAGACGCCGGTTGGGGCCCCTGAGGCCGGTTAGGGGCCCTCATATGCCAGATGTGGGGCCTCAGAGGTCGATGTGGGCTCTTAGTGGTCAACATGGGCGCTTGACCGCCACTGAAGTTCCATCAGAGGTTAGTGTAGGACGCTCAAAGACCGGTGTGGGAGCTATATTAACCCGTGCCCCGTAGGGCTACCGGCGGACCCTACCACCCGTAGGGGGGGGGGGGGGCCGTTTCGGCCCCCCCCCTAAGATCTCGGAAAGTTACCGGCCGATTTTCAAAATTCAAACGGCGTTTGATAGCCCTACCCGGGAACTACCTTGTGACCAAATTTCATTGACCTAGGTCAAACCGATGACGTCACAGGTCAGGTCAAAGGTCAGATTTTCACCGTTCACAGGCAATTCAAGAAATGTGCTGTGAAATCGAGTAAATTGGTAATTTATTGAAAACCATCGATGGTATATTGTTCGTCAAACACATACTTTGCTATCTGAGGTCACTGATACCAGGTCAGGTCACAGCGAGGTCAGGTCACCGGGGGTCACAATATGAATGTGTCGTGTGATACATGTTTTATGGTCCATTTTACATGACAAATGCGATTATGTGGGTTAGGCAGCCTTTGGGGCCAGCCTAGGTCACGTTTTGGTGAAGGTCAGGTCAAGGTCAGGTCAAATTAGGTCAAATTTTAAAGTTGATATTTTTGCATAAAATGGGTATCCATTCGATGCAGCTCGTCACGGGGAGTCTAATGGTGGTCTTTGTTTTGCTCTACGAGTTCTAGAATTGCCAAAAATTGAGTTTGAAAATTTGACGTCATCATTTTTGAACAGTTTTTTTCGCTATAACTTGGCCAAAAAAGGAGGTATCGATCTGAAATTTGGTATGTAGATAGAAGACGGTAGGTACTACCACATATATTCCGGTTTTTTCGAAACTCAAAAAACTTTTTGGATTTTTTGGCTAATATATCCAAAAAAATGTTTTTTTGATTTTTGGGGATCAAAACTCAAAAATTTCAAAAATCCGAGATAGCAGTTTTGTAGCCCTGTCAATTCTACACCTTTTATGTCTTGATCATTTTTTTGTATCTTCAAAGCTGTAGGCCTGACAGGTCTTCTCGCGAAGGTCTTTTTTCGGTCGAAAATGACAGAACATGACGTCACTCTGACGTCATTTGTGGCCAACCTATCACAGCCTCTGGAAAAATTTTTGGTCACAATGTGTAAAATTGATGCCCGGAAGGGTCCTGAAAGTTTGGTGGCGATATCTCCAGTCGTTTAGGAGATATCGACCGAAAAGGACAGGGGGGGGGGCCGTTTCGGCCCCCCCCCCTACGGGGCGCGGGTTAATAGCTGGGCGTGTTTTTTTTTAGCCTCGTGACTATCGAATCAGGGCCAGGGCCCCATACACCTATGGAAGTCCATCGGTTGCTTGAGGGGGGCGGGGGCAAATGATATGACGGCCCCCTTTATGTGCCTGGGGGGGCATGGCCCTGATGCCCCCCCCCCCCCCCAGCGACCGCCACTGTGTACACATTACATACAGGCCTCTGAGATTACATACTAGCTTATGCAAACTCAATGCAGGCCCCGGAGGTCCCACGCTAATCCTTAAGAAACCAAGCCGGCATACGGCGTCACCACCGGGCTTCTGAGGTGCACAGCACCAACCCATGAGGTCTTATGTGTCGTAGAGCCACGCTCATTTGGCAGGGCCCACCCGCCACTGGCGAAGAGGGTCTCATGCAAGCCATTGCTGGGCCTACGAGAGCCTCAAGTAAACCCACGCTGATATTCCATATAAGATCCGGCCATACTCGTGAACCGGTGCCAGCGACGCTGACCGCCAAATTGACAGAATGCGAAACTGAGCCCACTCATGAGTGAAATTTACGTCCTTTGATGGCGCAAGAGAGAAAATGAAACATACAAAAAGCTTTCCTGGGACTTTTGTTTGATCTGAAAGGCGGGGCCAAAAGATAGTATGGCCCCACCTTTCAGCACCAAAGGGGGGGTCATGGCCCCCGTGCCCCCCCCCCCCCCCCCCCTGGGACCGCCTATGCATACCAACAGAAAAGTTTGCATTAACAATTAACATAGAGGTAAGTCAAAGTAATGACTAATGAACAATACATTACTAGGTACCTACCACATCACAATTCATGTTAGAATCTACATAATTATATTGATAAGACAATCTTGCATCAGACAACCATGAGGCTTTCCAGTTTCCAGCTAACACAATTGATTGATAAACAATAAAAGATGATACTGACACATGTGGCTTGGTTAGGTAAAGGTATTTCAATATTTGATAAAATAAACTGAGATATAAACAAAAGTATAAAAATATTCAACAGCCTGCGGAAGCGATGGGAAGCGAAATATCAATTTCGCTATCGGACGCAGGGTATAGGTATTGAATTAGGGGGTAGGACCAAGTTTAGTAGGCATGATCTCAGCAATTATCGTGTTTTATATGGCGGTTTTCATTATCACAATATTATTTTTGATATCATGAAGTTTGTATATCTCAGTTTTACGAAAAATAGTAGGGCAACAAAGATAAATTTCGCGAAAAAATAATTTTAGTTCGAAACATCCATTCTGGTATGCAAAATTCAGTATGAAGCCCAGTATGGTGACCGTCTAGTGTGCTTCCAAGGCTGAGTACCTGATATCAACAAGAGTTGTTTACTATTTTGCCTTACGTTGCTAGGTGGTTGCTAGGGAGCTAAGGATACTCTCTTGCGCGATAATTTGCACTTATTTTTCCTCATTATATCGACATGTTGCTGTTTCTGAGACCTAACTCATGCTAAGAAAAAAAGCAGTTTTCTTAAAATGTGTATTTAAGTGCCGTAGCATTAACACAGCTCTGCAATTCTGCTGAAATATCTGCAAAATCCTGACTTCCCGGAAAATTGTTGGTGGTGATGGGGATCGAGCCCGTCGATGAAAAGTAAGTCAATATTCAAAGGCTTCAAAACGTTATTTCTTGTTGTTCTGTGAAATAGCAATGCAAATACCGATGATAGTGCCAGTGTAGAGCTTTCCAATGAAGCATTGCAATTAGTAGTAAAGTTATTATCACCTAAAATATCTTTAATCAAATATTAGAATTCTGCCATCGTCTTGCTGTAGAACAGGGTTACTTTCAATCTCTTGGGAACACGATTTGCCGGTCTCAGATCGAAAAACACTTCAGAAAGCGGTAATAGACAATGAAATTTCCCACTTGATAGCATCTCGGGTTTTTATATATCCTGTCTAGAATTTTCATAAATCAGACGTAAAAATGGCCAATTTCGTCAGATTACGAATTTTTGCCATTGGGTCTAATGTAAAGCATGGCTACTTTCAGTCTCTTGGGAACACGATTTCCGTACCTC